TTTGGTTTCGAAGATCCCGTAGACCTAATTTACCACCAGCTGGGAGTCGCATTTGATTTCTATGACCTCGGAATCTAGTCCACGACCCAATTCGATTCTTGCAATCAAAGCTTCATACTCTGCTTCGTTGTTAGTCAAAGGGACCGTTCTCATGGCCTACCTTAGGGTTTCTCCCGAAGGCATGATCAATACTATGCCGAGCTCGGACCCCTTTACGTTAGAAGTTCCATTCGTAAATAGGGTCTACACTCCCGATGTCAATTTTGACACTATCACTGCTTCTTTAGTTGCAAGAGGCAGCAATCCCGGACTGAAATCGGCCATAAAGTCGGCCAAAACATGTGACTTAATTGCAGTCCTATGTTTATATTCTATGTCAAATTCCCTCATTTCGACGACCTATTTGGCCGACCTACCTGAGAGTTCGGGTTTATGAAGGATATTCCGTAGGGGAAAGGTGGTCACCATAGCTATCGGGTGACATTGGAAGTAAGGCATCAGCTTCCGAGCGGTGACTACGAGTGCTAAGTCCAGCTTCTCCAGATGCAGGTAGCGAGTTTCTGCTCCCATTAAATTCTACTAACGTAATAAATGGGAGATTGCGTACCTTCGTCCTCACGGACTAAAATGACGCTTACCGCTATCTCCGAGACCGCTAGGTAATTAACAAATTTTCACCTTCCTCCGGCTTTGATAGTAACAGAGGGATTGAAAAGTATCTTTCCAAATCCATTAAATCCTGCTGGTATTTTGGGGTCCACTTGAAGTTGTTCTTCTTTTGAGTAGCGCGAAGAAATGGTGGCATTTCTCTGTTGACCAGGAAATGAACCTGCTCAAAGCAGTCAATCTCCCTGTGAGCCTTTGAACCTCTTTTACGCTTGACAGTTGGTCTGGGATGTCTTCGATGGCTTTGATTTTATTGGGGTTTACCTCAATCCCCTTTTGTGACACCAAAAATCCTAGGAATTTGCCGGAGCTAAACCCGAACGCGCATCATCTCGGGATTAAGCTTCATATTATGCTTCCTTAGGATGTCAAAAGTTTCTTGCAAGTGCTTAATATGGTCACCTGCGTTCAACGACTTAACAAGCATATCGTCTATATAACCTTCCACGGTTTCCCTATCTGTTCTTCAAACATTCTTTTTACAAGCCGCTGATAAGTGGCTTCGGCATTCTTTAGCCCGAAGGGCATCAAATTATAGCAATATGTGCCGAAATTCATTATGAACGAAGTTTTTTGCTGATCCTCCGGGTTCATCTTAATTTGGTTGTACCTAGAGTAAGCATCGAGGAAACTTATTAACTTGTGCTCGGCCGTTGCATCAATCATTTGATCGATGTTTGGCAGTGGGAGCGAGTCCTTTGGGTACGCCTAATTCAAGTCCTTATAGTGTTCGCACATGCGAAATTTATTGTTCTTCTTAGGAACTACTACTACATTAGCTAGCCAGTCTAGATACTTTACCTCTCGGATCGAACCGATATCAAGTAAGCGAGTTATCTCCTCTTTGACGAATTCATTTCTCGCCTCGGCAATAGGATGTTTCTTTTGTCTTACCAGAGGAATTCTGGGATCCAAGCTTAGCTTGTGTAAGGACATCTCCGTCGGGATACCTGTCATATCCGCATGCGACCACACAAAACAATCGGCATTAAACTTAAGAAATTTAATAAATCCAGAGGTCTGGGTGCAATCCTGTCCCCAAATGGAATTACCTCTCCAAGAACTTTTCAAACAATGCGACTTGTTTAAGTTCTTCCTCTATGGACTTTGTTACGTCCGTCTCTTCAGGTAACTGGAAATATCTTGGCACCTGATAAGATTACGATGCTTCTTCCCCCTGGTTAACTTCAATTGACATGGGAGCAGGCACCGGTTCCTGTAATTTCTTTGTCGCATTCTCCTTCACTTTGCTACTGGAGACCGAAATCACATCCATCTCCCTTTTTTCCTGTTGGTCGCCTTTTATCTGTTTAATCCCCTCGGGAGTTGGGAATTTCAACAACTGATGATACACTGATGGTACGGCTTTCATATCGTGCAACCATGGTCTTCCCTGAATAATGTTGTAACCCATATCACCGTCCACAACCTCGAAAATTGTCGTCTTCATCACCCGCTCGACATTTGTGGGCAGCATGATCTCTCCTCAAGTTATCAAGCTTGTGAGGCTGAACCCGGCGATGAGTTTTGTGGCCGGAATGATGCTTCGAGTAAGTTTGGCTTGCTCCAATACCCTCAATTGTATGATATTGGCCAAACTTCCTGGATCCACCAGAACTCGTTCGATTTTAAAATCTAATACATTTAAAGAGAATTTCCAATGCGTCGTTGTGCGAAGGTAATAATCCGTCTGCGTCTTCCTCCATAAAAGTGATGTCGTCCTTAGCGACTTCGCAGAGCCTCTTGCCCTGGATTACTGTGACCTTCATTTTTTTTGCTGCCGAGAAGGTAACCCCGTTAATCTCGTTCCCCCCAAAAATCATGTTGATCTTCTGGCGCGGGGGGTCTTCTCCTATTTTTGAGGGCTTTGCGTTATCACGGTTGCGATCGTAATTGTTTTTGGCCTAGTCAGTTAAGAATTCCCTGAGATGGCCCTTTTTCAGTAGTGTCGCCACCTCTTCACACAGATATCGTCCCCAGTTCGGTGGTCGTTCATCGCGTGGTATTCGCGCCACAAATTAGGATCCCTCTGGCTGTGATCGGACCTCATCGAATTTGGGAACCGTGCTTCTTTAATGTTTCTCATTGCCGATACCAACTCTACTACACTAACATTGAAGTTGTATTCTGAGGGTCTAGGATAGGAAAGATCTCAAGAACCTGATGCTTCCTTATCCTGTAGCGAACTGTTGTTTCGGCCATGATTAGTTCTTCTATCGGTAACGAATGTATCTGCCAATCAGAAACCTCAGCCGCGTCCTTCGGCCCGTTTGTAGGAAAAAAACCAGCCCCTCGAAGACGGTGTATCTCCCGACCTTTAGCCGACGCCGAGAAGCCAAGCTGATCATCCTCAATCCTTATCTTGGGCTCGTACTGGTTGTGAACATCTGCCCGAGTCGTCGCTTGAAATTCGAGAAAGCTTTCCTTCAACTTCTAAGAGGCATCGAAACTTCTCGGGTTCAAACCCTTGGTGAATGCTTCAGCCGCCTATTCATCCAGAACAGCCAGGAGCAACATCCTTTCCTTCTGGAATAGTGTTACGAATTCCCGCAGCAAATCGGATTCTCCTTGTGCAATTCTAAATATGTCAACCTTCTAGGCCTACACCTTTCTAGCACTGGCATGGGCCTTAATGAAAGAATTCGCGGTTATCTCAAAGGAATTACAGAATGCTCGGGTAAGAGTATATACCACGTCAAGGCTCCCCTCGTGAGAGTCTTTTCGAATTTCTTTAGCAACACTGATTCGATCTCGTGGGGAACTAAATCATTCCCTTTCATCGCCATTGTATAGGTGGTAATATGTTCCCGAGGGTCCGAAATCCCATCGTATTTTGGCATGTCGGGCATTTTAAACTGCTTTGGGATCAATTTTGGTGTCGCGCTCAGTTTGTACCGCAGATGAGTATACTTCTTTGAGTCCGGTCTTTTCAGCACCTGTGGCGCACCCGGGATTTGGTCCATGTGAGCGTTCACTTCTCTCATAAACGTAGGAGTTCGCTTTTGAAGGGATCGCTTTCGTTGTTCTGGCCGAATCTGCTCCCCGCGGTCCTATCGAAGCCGACCTCGCCCCTTGGGGTGTTGTTGTCGACCCATTTTTTGATTTGCGGGAGCACCGAGAGGAGCTGGACCTTGCCCATTCGCGGTATTGGAAGCTCCCGATAACGCTTGCTTTAGTTCTGTCATAACCTTATCCTACCGTGTGAGATGGCCTAGGATGACCTCTTGTTGCTCCAACAGGACCCTCACCACTTCAACAACATGTTCCTCTTCAGCATCGTCGAGAGTCGCCTCCCGAATATGATGTGGGTACTGTCTACTGTGTACCGGCGTGGTATCGCTCCCCATATTGCGGGTATCACTGATTGAATTCTCGTGCTGAGGCTGGTCTCCTTGGGCCTCAAGATTGTGTGTGTTGTTAAAACCATTATCTGCCATTTTATGTTATTTTTGCTAAGAACAGGTAATCAAAATACGTTAGTAAAAGAGACAAAGACCAACTTAATTACACGACTGTCTAGGCCTCACGGTGGGTGCCAAACTATTTACCCGTTAAACGGTACAATTGAATTTATACGCGATTTCTAGACAAATGAATTAATTTGATCCTGAAATAATAGAAGAATTGAATAAATATGCAATACTTAGCCTTGAGATGAAAATGAAACAGCAGAAACAGTGTTTCTGGGAGTAGGGCTTCCGGGTACAACAACAATGAAATCAAAAAGCAAGAAGATCAAATTGTATAAAAATTTGAACAAATTATAGCATAAGTTTGCCAGAAAATTCATGTCCCTTACAATGATAATAGAGCTCATTATTTATAGCTGCACCTAGGGAACAAGGTCCTAGGATCATGCCCTTCTTTAATGTCAATTATGAAGGTCATTGAAGAATGTGTAACGGCGGGCATAAATGCTCTCTATAATGGACAGTGTACTAAATGTTATAGAATATTCTCCATTAAATACTATCGGATGATAGACATTTATTTCATCTTTATGAGCACCATTCTTTCCGGTAAAAGATGGATTAGTTTTCTTCGATTTTAACTATCCTTTGCCTTCTACTTCACGTGTCACTCCCTTATGCAAATCACTTAGCATAACATATGTTACCCTCTACCTAAATCATATTAGGTAATCACCTACCGCTGGGAAAGAAGACGACAAGCCGATGTCGATTCTAGTGTAGAATAACCAAAAATCAAGACAAAGTAGTTGAGAGAGACAAGCAAAGGTATGACGTAACCCTCATCCCAACGGCTTCTTAGCGGACCGACAAATAGATTCCTCTTTGACTAAGGAGGTGTTTCCTCTTCGGGCATAGAAATAACTGCCTTTGCTTCTGCCCTTTATTATTGCAAAAAGGTTCCGCATCCACCTTTTTTAATTGACTTTTCGTCACAAAAGATTTCTCCACAGATTGTTACCGAAATACCTTCTTTCATGTCTGGACAGGTAAGTATTCCAACAGCATATATAGTAACATTTTCACACATAGAACCCCCGGGAATCCCCTCTCATAATTTAAGCCACTTTTTTCTGTTATATATCCATTAATTAATTGACTATGATAGCAAACCACTTTTTGTTTGAAACAGAATTCTGATTAATTTATCTTGTAAAAAACAAGCAGGTATGCATGGTGATGCGCGTTAATCTGGATTGCCCTTCTTGCTGCAGGAAAATGAGAAGAATCATTCTCAGAATGAAAGGTAAGGCATACCTGAGGGAAAAGGGCCAAATATAATCCTCTATTCTCATATGTTATCTATATTTAACCTTCGTTATACTATGGGGGGCCAAATTTATCCCTACCGTTATACTATTAGGCCAAATTTACCCTTATAATCAGTAAACTTTACAAAATTATCCCTCAGTCCGTCAAGTGACCTAAAATCTCCCAAATTATTTTAATTAAATCACTTGTTATTCTTCTTGCTCCATTATTTTCGAAATAATTGGCACTTACCTACTTTCTGAATTAGAGAAAAAAAAATATTAAATAATACAACCGAATAAACAAAGTACAGTAAATTGAAAATCTAAATTATGTAGCTTTTCTAAATTCTAAAACAATTTTAATGAATTCGTTGCACCAAATGTACAGAGACTTTGCAAGTATTAGTGATTGAAGTTGAAATTTCTTGGAGACTTTACACCGTCGAATTCAACTTTGCTTTAATTAAATACCTACACATTGTGCACTCTTAAGTTAATTGATCGTACTCTATATTAACAAGACAATGACAAAATAAATTTGAATATACATGTACATACGTGATAATCAGTTGCATATAATACACAATAAATAGACCCACTGAATTCTATGGTGTCTATATGATTGAAAAATAAATAAAATTTTAAACCAATTCCAAACCCATTATTACAAGAAGACAAGTGGGTGCATTGGTAATTAAATTTCTTTTTTTATGAATAATTTGTATAGTCTAGTAACTTTAGCATTTACATCAATAGTAATTTCTGAAAATAATAGAGCAAGAAGAACAACAAGTGATTTAATTAAAATGATTTGGGAGATTTTGGGTCACTTGACGGACCGAGGGGTAATTTTGTAAAGTTTGCTGATTGTAGGGCTGATTGTAGGGGTAAATTGGTCCGATAGTATAACCGTAGGGATAAATTTGGCCCGATAGTATAACGGAGGTTAAATGTAGATAATATATGAATGTAGAAGGATATTCCCCATACTTAATATACAAATCCGCGATCCTTAGGATAAACAGATTAATAAAGTTTTTGTCTACAACGTAATTGTATGACTAATATGGTGTAGAAATAGAGATGCACCTGATAGAGAAGCAACACAACAGAGTGAGCATCTTTGGCCGGTTTGATCCAGCAGACATAGCCATAAGAATTAGGAAAAAAATGAAGAGAAGAGTTGAGATTTTGGACATTCAATTACCCGGTGATGGACAGGCCGAAGAGATGCCTCATGCCACTGATGGCCCTCACCAATCCATTATGCAACAAGCCGCGTAACGCTGAAGCTAATTCAGAGAATGACATGCTCACAATAGGGCTTTCCGCCAGAGGATGCTCATACTCTTTTAGTCCAAACAAAAAAAAAAAAATTGTTGGTTTAAGCTAGTCTGGAAGAACTAAGGCCCTCTTTGTATACAATACCAAATTAATGTATGTTGATGTACACAATTTAGCTGTCTTTTTTTTTCTATCATCTTTCTTACTTTCTTTTATTTTTTCCATTTATTGTTATTTTGTCACGATCCAAAAACCACAAGTCGTGATGGCACCTAACTCAACCCGCTAGGTAAGTCAACTAACATAAAATACCACCCAACTGAGATTATAAGAGGATAGAAAATAGATAACTGAACATTTACAAATTTACCAAGACCAGGTAGTACGAATCACGAGCTTCTAAGATTTGGAACTTCGAAACTGATACAAATAAATACACGTTCTGTTTGAAGATTACATAAACAGATTAGCAATAATCTAAACTACCAAGGACAAATGGCAGTTATATCCAAACGCACGAACATCTTCTGAATCAGCACCCGACGTCACCAGCAACTCAGCTCCAAAATGTGCACGGGACGTGCAGAAGTGCAGTATCAGTACAACCGACCCCATTTACTGGTAAGTATTTTGTCTAACCTCATCGAAGTAGTGACGAGGCTTTTAGTTAAAAAGATGCTTATTTAAATAACCTATACATTAGATTAACAGTAAAGCAGTTCAAAGTATAACAAATAAAAGTATCGTACAACCCGGCGAGTTAAACAATGAATATTATAAAGAACTATAGTGGAATATTTACGATCTTCCCTGGTATGAGATACATGTCTAAAATGTCAAAATATTAAATCACATGGCATGGTAAAACCCTTTGTGCTTTTATCTCATCCTCACCATGTATAAATAAATTTATGAAACAATTCAATTAGCACGGCAACACCCTTCGTGCGTTCAGCTCATCATTTCCAAGTAATCGTATAACAATACCAACCATATCACAGGAACACAATAATAGGAATTACTAAGTAGGAAATGCGCCAGTAACAATAGTGGACAAGGAAACACATGTGGATCACAGTAATGGACTAAGCGAAAAGCATGTGAGTAACAACAACTATTAAAAAACAGGGAATATCAACTTCAATTAACTAGCATATTGGAGGCCTAAGTACAAATATAACAATTAAGAAGAAAACACATGTTCTTTACAAGTTAACAAGTACGGGCATGAATGGCTAGCATAGTGGAAGGCTTATACTGAAGTGCAACAGAATAGATACAATGTATAATATAAAAGTATAAATAGACATGGTAATTGTAAGTTAAGCAAGTAAAAGACATGGACAGTGCAACAACAATCGAGATAAAGGTCAAGTACAGGACAATAACAGCAAGTCACCCCAAATATGTAAATACAACCATAACAGCTCAAGGTAAGGGCACAATCGTATACACGGGAAACAGATAGCATGTCCCTCGTCCTCACCTGCACGGGAACACCCTTCGTGCCATGACCTCACCATAACATACAAATATAACAATACAAATAAAATTGCACGACATCACCCTTCGTGCTTTTACTCTCAAATGATATGGCACGACATTACCCTTCGTGCTTTTACTCTCAATAATGTGGCACGACATCACCCTTCGTGCTTTCACTCTCAATAATATGGCACGGTATCACCCTTCGTGCTTTTACTCTCTTTCTTACCAAGCATATGAGTCAATAACAAATAAGGCAGGAAGCACAAATAACATCAAGAAGAGTGCTTAAATGGGTATTCCAAACACATTTCAAATCACAACTTTCCAAGTCAACAATGGTTCAACAACCCTCAAGAACCGTATTATTCAAATACTTCCACGAATCTCATAAATGATCCACAACACAAGTATAGAGCCTACCGTCTCAAGAAATTCGGCTGTAGTAAAGTAGTAATGATTTCGCATAGAGATGACTGAATTAGACACATCAATGTATTCTTACAATTTTCATCAAGTTTTTGTAACAAACTAAGTCTTGATATCCATCATTTAATATTATGTCCTTAGTATCTAAGAGTCAAACAAGGCATTAAGCAGAATGTCACAAAATTCTACAAACACAAATATAACATAATCCACCCCCAAGCATGATTAACCCTGGCACATACATATACGCTCGTCACCTCATATATTTATCACCCCCGCATATAGCAAACAATGACAAATAGGAGGAAAAATTTCCTCAACAAAGCTGGGCAAAACACTTACCTCAATTCGGCTAATCCCACACTCAATTTAGCCTTTTCCTCTACGAATTTGCCTTCGCTCGACTCAATCTAGACAATGACGACTTGAATACACCACACAATGCAAGAGAAAACAATTTCAATTAATAAAGCTATGGTTTTTATTGAATTTCTAAAAAGTCAACAAAAGTCAAACCCCGGGCCCGCCCGATCAAAACCCGGATCCAAGGATAGGTCTTGACTACCCACAGTCTCACGAGTCCAAATATGTGTTTTGTTTTCAAATTCAAGTCGTATTCGACTCTCAACTCTCAACTCTCAACTCTCAACTCTCAATTTTTCATTTTTCAAAACTTTGACAAAATCCCCAAATTTTTCCATAGATTTCTCATGAATTTGATGTTAAATCTTGTATAAAATCATGAAATAAAATATAGTTGGAAATTGATTAAAGATACTTACCCAATGATTTGGCATGAAAATCCCCTCTCAAAATCGCCCCACCTCGAAGCTAGGGTTCAAAAATATGATAAATGAAGCAAAAACTCGAAATTCTCAGCACTTAACAGGCTGCAGATGTCGCATTTGCGAACAAAACTTTGCATTTCCCAATGAACAATGTTTTTGCAGTCGCCATAAATGGTTGGCAATTGCAGATGAACAGTGTTTTCGCAATTGCCATAAAAGGTTTGCAATTGCGAATGAAAAGTGTCGCACCAGAAACCAGCAAAACCCAAACTTCTCCGAAATGATCCAAAACCACCCCGAAACTCATCCGGAACCTCCCGGACACAAACCATATATGAATTTCAATCATAAAACACGCTACGGACCTCCTCGTGCACTCAAAACACTGAAAAGAGGTCGTCTTAACCCGATATTGACCATGGTCAAACTCCCAAGTTTCTTAACTTTACTAGTCTCTCAACCAATGATCCAAAAATACACCCAAGCCCCTCGGGACTCCAAACCAAAAGTTCACACCAGTCTAAAAACATAACACGAACTCTCTCATGCGCTCAAATCATCAAAATAACTTCTAAAACCACGAATCGGACGTCAAAACGTATGAAGATCAAATTACACTTCAAAAACTTCTAGAATCACAACCGAGCATCCGAACCCTATCAAATCAACTCCGAATGGCGCCAAACTTTGCAGACAAGTTCCATTTGACAAGACGAACCTACTAGAAGCTTCAAATCACACATGCAACCTCGAAATGATGAATCACACCTCAAGCCGAAATCAATGAACTTTGAAACTTCAACTTCCACAACCGATGCCGGAACCTATCAAATCACCTCTGATTGACCTCAAAATTCGCACACAAGTCACATTTGACATTAGAACATAAATCCGACCCCGATATGAAAAAGTCCACTCCCGGTCAAACTTTCCAAAATCCAACTTTCGCCAATTCAAGACTAATTCCACTATGGACCTCCAAATGACAATCCGAACGCGTTCCTAAGTCCGAAATCACCCAACGAAGCTAAAGGAACTGACAAAACTCCATTCCGAGGTCAATTGCCAAAAAGTCAAACTTGGTCAACTCTTCCAACTTAGAACTTAAATCTTGAAGTTCATTCCCCCCAAATCGATTCCGAATAACTTGAAAATCAATACTGACGATTTACGTAAGTCATAATACATCATGTGGAGCAACTTGAGCCCTCAAAATATCGAGCGAAGTGCAGATACCCAAAACGACCAGTCGGGCCGTTACATATTTTTTCACTTTCTTCTTTTCTTCTAATAGCGGGGCAGTGACTATGGTTTCTTAGGTCGTATTTGATGTCCCGAAACTCTGCACTCTTTTTTGGTTTCTTTTAATTTTTTTATAGCTGTCTGAATGTTTATCCCCATATGCTTCATTCTACTTGTTAATTTCAATATGTGCTCCCTAATTTGTTCAAACTTCATATTCTTTAGTATTGCCTAAGGCTTCTAGATCCTATCTCAGTGTTCTCCCCCACATGAAATCATTTGGTGTTAACCTAGATGTATGCCTACCCCATTGATCTAAGTGACAGGCCTTTTGAACCCTTCTAATGTTATGACTAATGTTCAGCATGCTAAGGGCTTCCCCTGTTAAGTAATTTCACGATCATGAACCTGTGTTATCAGTATCCATGTTACACTTACCATATCAAGGCTGTGCTCTACTAATTCTCTATAAATCTATGATTAGATCCCCTGTTTGGGAGTGCTTTAGGCAAGTTCTGGCTATGCATTGTTTGAAACTTCTTGTGAAATAGTTTGCTATCCTATGTTGGTCAATCATATCCCTTTAGTCTCTAAGATTCATGCACGAACCTATCTATGTGTGCCCTGTCAATGTGTTCTATGATCGTGTCTCTATGTCTTAGTGAGAACTGCTGTTAGTAGGCCTCAAAGCCGTTTAACTAGTTTCCTTATGTAGTTTGTTAACTCGTTTTGTTAAGTTTGGTTCATCTGCATCTCCTAGGTAAGTAAGTCCTCCATTTGGGCTTGGTGTTGGTCCATGTATGAGTTAAACATTGTAATTAATACATTCTAATTCTTTGGGTGAGTCTGGGATCTTGGTCTGCTATTTATGTGAAGAATTAGCCTGTTGAAGGCCCAAAAACGTCACTAGTTATTTTATTTGGGCTTGCAACTGCTTATTGGGCCTATATTTGTTGTAGTTTGTAATATTTGAGCATGTTTTCTTTAATTTGGGCATGTAATAACTTGTAATCTCAAACAGCTAGGGATTAGTAGAAACTGGGGGTAGGATATTTTATTCTTCACATGAAAGGGTTAAAAACATTTCTAAAAGGCCTTAATTTGTTTACTTGCCATTTATCTGTGCCATGTGTTGATTTGTTTGCCTATTCACTTAGAAAGCATGACTTAGGGCCAATGAAGCGTCTCAACTTGCAAATGTTATAAAACTGCTTATATGAACTAAGA